TGTGCCCTTTTGTGCGCTGGTAGTGTCGATAGACGGTTAAATGCGTTCTCTAACGCCATATACAGCGACCCCAGGAATAACGTCTTGTAGTACTTTTGTGTCTTGTACGCAAGCTGAACGTTATAGTGCTGCATCCGGAGTTGGTCGTGCACATCAACACCTCTCATGTGTCTGTGATAGTCACGAACCCGCTCTGGTGCTGATATTTTTCCATCTGACCTCTGATACCGCGCACTACAAGCAAAACAAAAATAGTTAGCAATGTCACAAATCGACAAACACACAGGATCACTTACTGACAACGACCGATTATCTGCTGCCACCACTGTATGTGAACCGGATTGCGGTACATCCACATTACTGCAGTTATATGCGGGAAAAGCTTGTTTTTGGTCAGCGTGATTGAACCTGAGGCGGAGCGAGCTCTTTCACAACGTTCACCGTTTTGTAGGACTTAGTGGTCCTTACACCCTTTGCGTATCCGGTTATACACGTCTAAATCGTTCCCGTTATGTACATTCGCCGACGCAAGAGCTCCAACGCAATTTTTACCGACGTGTAAAATCGGTTAGTGATTACCAAACGCCAGGGGGCCGCTGGTGACGCTGGACATAATGCGTTCATGTTTCTGAGAACGGCATCATCGCCGCAATTATTGTCGGCGGGATCCGGAGTCCGAAGATGGTCTTTGGCGCCACAATACACCTTAATTCTGGCAATAGTAGTGCAAACACACAAAGTTAGCTCAATGCAAATTATGTTGGATTGTACCACTATCGGCAATGAACAAGTTGGATGTCCAACATAAGCGCTTAAATAAACAAAAACGTGGCGAGCTGATGTTGCCAGCTCGAACGGCATCCATGCAATAAGCACTATATGCACACGCTGACACGAACGCCTTGGTACCCTATTTGTGGGGCTTGTCCTTGTTGAATTGTCTGATCAGATTGTAGCAAGATTTTGATGGCAAAGTAGCCTCATCATAGCTAATGACCGGTGAAGTCTTGTATCCATGCGCAAATGTACGTTGCGAAACCTCAACGATTGGCCGAATCTTCAACACTCGGTACTTATTGGCTTGCGGTGACTTTTTATTCGAAAAGTGCATATATCCCATTATGTAAAAGACCCTGTTGCATGACACGAATTTGGCGAAGCGTGGTGTTGGCAGACTACCTGCAGGTGTAAGCTCCCAGTGAGCAGCAATCCCCTTCCGCACTGGAGCTAACGTCCTGGAAATGAGAAGCGCAATAACGCGCAGCACCTCCCAAGGTTCAATCGGCCTTACACGCGCTAGTCGCTTGTGAATGTTTGCAATATCTTCCACCTCTCCACGCCACCCCGCTGTTTTGCTTGAATTATCTGCGCTCGGCCTAGGATTGGCTGGGTGTGGTAGCGATTGCTTTCAGCCATAATTTGACTCCATAATTTGGGCGGTAGGTAGTAAAAAGTAGTGCGAGAGGATCTCCAGCCACGCTAAGCATACTGTCGGATGGCCCATCCGGCCCGTCGTAAAGCTCTGCAGACGAAGGGCTGTCTTCAAACTTGGACTGATCTACAAGGCACAAACATCGTATTAGATAATGTTGCTATTACATTGGATAGCCGATCAATTAAAGTTACATATGTTGGATCGAGTCCAACATAACTTACGATACTCCTAGCCAGAGTGCTTCATCTCCGTCAAACAGACAGCATTCTTTTCCACTAACTTGCACAACGAATCGGGTAGATCAATTTCATCAAAGTATGCTCTTTCGCTGTCGGAAAATCTTCAATATCCCAGTCCTTTTCTCACTCACTTTCTGCGTCATCGTTGTCACCATCAGGACTCGACTCTCCCGATCCAAGGCAAGTGCATTCGCGTGCACCGGCTGCCATGATGTTAGGGTCGCCGCTGACTACACAGGCAACAGCAACGCGTGGGGCAGCAGCCACAACAGCTACACCCGTGCTATCGTTCTCGAATATTTATACGGCGACTTCCTCCTCTGAAGCTTCCTGAAGTACCCTTTGACATCGTTTTTGCGACCTTTGCGTGACTACTTCCGCCTGCTTGTTCGTACGATGGAGGCGTGAGGCCTCGATTGCGCTTGGAGCAGCTCGAACCAGCGTTAGCAGCGAGCTCGAAGCCACAGCCATCACCACATCAGCGACTGCCTCCACCACCTAAGGCTCCACCGTAAACGCATCTACCCCGTATCCGTAGTCTCTTTAGCCTCAGCGGTATTTGCTTCTACATCCGTCTCCTTGGCTGCAGCCGGTTCGGCGCACAGAGACATGAAGATTGCACTTTCCATGGCCGGCATCGTTAGTTTCATGGGGGGGCTTTCTGGAGCGCTTCTTCTCTCGGCCACCCTCATCGCCTTGCTTTGACTCTGCTGACTGCCTTTCCGCGTTTCGACGAAGGCGGGGTCGATGGTGGTCATCCAGCGCCGCCAGACACCGCTGGCGCTCTTCTGGTGTCAAGGTGTGGCGAGGTGTCTTGCCCGCCGTCGCATCCAACTCTGCCTCCTTCTTTGCTTGTTGACTCTGCACTCTTTTTAAAGAATGAGAGAGCTCTGTGGCTGTCGGCAACGGCTGTAGTGGGTGATACCGCCTCTCGATATCCCCTTCAAACGGAGATCCGATCCAGCTACCCTAAGCATGTGCATTTGGCTGTTTTAGGCTCACATATTTGACTTGACTTCAGTACTGAACTTTCTTGAAATTGGTTCTATACAAACTAGGAGTCATTTTATTCTCTTATGTTAAAATAAGTGCCGAAAAAATCTAAACACCTAGCACATTATTAGGCTACTGTCGTAATAATGCTAAACTAACAGTTTAAAACAGCAACGAAGTGTCAAACCTATCTCAGAATGGGTCCCAGTCGGACAGGAACGACATTCAAACAGCCAGCGGCGAAAATCAAGTAAATTTCAGAAAGCATCAGAATAATGATTTTAACGTAGTAAAAGCATGCACTGAGAGCTCTTTTTCGAAAGTGAGCATCAATTCTATAAACGAAGGTTTATTAACCCCTTAGGTTCTGTATATTGAGCCGCTAAGCATTTGTACCGATACTGTACTTTGGAGGAGACGAAACGTCTCCATTACGTATCGTATAATTTTACCTTCTTTCTCATAAAAAACAAGATGTATTTTTATTAAACAGAAATTTCTTCTGGAAAAGTGCCCATTCGACATCGTGTGATAGTTGACCACCAGCACTAATTCGGAGCGAGATGAACGTTGATGCTCGTCGGGTCAAAACTGCACTTGCCGGGGGTCATAACTCCGCAGCAGCTAGCGTTAATTCCATTGTTCAAAATATTTGTGCATTTGATTGCGGCGATGCGCAATATACCAGTGTTGTATCCAGCAATGACATGGCCGTGCCGTGTGAGCAGCGCGTTAGTTTGTACACTATTGTGATTGCAACTACGTACTTCAAAATTACATTTTAAACCGTACTTCGCTCGGGAATCTCTGGACATTATGTATGTTATTTAAAACCTACACTACGGAGGTGGCTGTAATATATCCATTGTACTGCTTGATCAGGGCATTTGATCAAGAGTAGCAAATCCATGTGTACTGAGGCTAGCTAGCATGGCTACTCTGATACGAGCTCTCGTTGTGTTACCATGGCGCATTATCGATTACTGTACGCTACATGTAATAGCAAACGCTTATATCACCGACTTGCCCATCAAACATGTACGTTGAAGTGGTGCACTTTAAGAGATCTTAACGCGTTGAGTTGACAGCTCAACTGATTGTGCTTGGTATTTAACGCCAGCCGCATACATGTAGTTGGCTTGCGGGTAGCGACAGATGAGCTTTTTCCAACCTTCAATATCAAGCGGTGGTCCAGCTACACGATAGTGCGTGGTGATGCCTATTTCTCCTCCCAGTCGTAAGTGTTTAAAAGTTCGATTGGCCTTTCCAAGGTAAATTGTCGCTAAAAACGTCATACAAAGCGAGGCAGTGTCCCTAAAGCAATACTTGTTTTCAACAGCCACGGAAATCTTGGCATGCATTCCAGGCTGTTAAGGCATGTACAGTACAAGTTGTACTGCAGCGAGCTGCGCTCCAGTCTAGATCTGCCACGGTTTGTGCTTGCCGTTAAACGCTGCAGCATAAGCGGTTGGTGTCCTTCAACTATTATCGAGTGCTTGCTTGGCTCTGATTGGATGAAAAAGAAGGATTCATAACGGCCAAAACTTCAACTTGGTCGACTATAGCGATAATAACGTGGCTTTGGGCGTCTAAAGCCTGGAGGCAGGCCCCCATGAGTCTGTCCGTGTCCCTAGATCCTCGTCTACATGTAGTGCTTGCAGTCTTACTCAGTCCATTCTGACAGTATTGGCGCTGACTGAATACCGCTGCGAGGTGATCCCACTCTGCGCGAGGTCTGTGAAGAGACCAGTCATTTCTCCTTTTGCACTGCGCCACACACTCGTCCAGCTCAGCTCCACGTCATGTCCAACTTGCTGCTCAAGGAGGCGGCGTCGCATGCTCCCGTGACAGGAGCCGACTACGAGAACCTAATGTCGCCCGCACTGCGTTCCAGTAGCACCGCCAAGCGTCCCGACTTGGAAGCTGGAGGTGACGGACGACAACCACACGGCGCGTCATTCTGGGTCCTGTTGGCTGTCTCGATGCCTCGTATGGCCGTCAATATGGCTTGGGCAGCGCAGTGGGCGGCACTCTCGCCGTACCTCAGCACTATGTTGCCCAACTACGCCGTCCAGCTCACGTCTGTCATTGGTCCCATCGTCGGTATCATCTTCGGTCCGATCGTTGGTGTACTGAGCGACCGCAGTACATCTCGCTACGGTCGTCGTCGCCCCATTCTTGAAGTTATGGGCATTCCTAGCGTAATTTGCTGGATAGCCATGGGCTACACTAGCGAGATCGGCGAAGCTCTGGGCGACGTCGGCAGTGGCGTCGCAGGCCAAGAGACGGACCGCACGTGGACGGCTGTCTTCACGGTCGTCTTCTACCTGTGAATGGACATTACAGTGACCTGTAGTCAGACCCCGACGATGCTTATGGTTGCAGACTTTGCAGGCGATCGGCAGACGCTGGGCGCAGCTCTTGGACTCGGGTGGGCCACTATGGGCGCTATCATCCCCGCCGTCTACATTCAGATCTGGGGGGCAGCCTACCTGACGTTGCACTACTTCATGGGCATGTTGTGTGTCGTCATGGTCATCTGTGTGGCCGTGGCTGTGATCTTCGGTAAGGAAACGCCGCTGGTCGAGACGGACCGGGTGAGCGCCTGTCAGAGCATTCTAGACGCGTTTAGGACCATCTTCAAAGGCATCCAGACCATGCCGCCTATGCTCACAGTGTACGCAGCCATCATGTTCTTCGTCTTGTATGGCTACTCGGCGTACAACGGCAACAAAGGCCAGTTCTTTGGCCTCGAGGTGTACGGCGGTACTGCCACTCACGCGGACTCGTGCAACCCGTGCACCGCCGAGCAGGTCGCGTACAACAAAGGTGTGAGTAAGGCCAGTGGACTGGGCGATCTCCTCTTCAATATTGTGGGTTATATCTTCTCGTGGGCTCTTCCGTTCCTCGTACATCAACTCGGCGCTCGTTGGGTCTTGTCCTGCTCGATGCTGGCACAGGCACTGCTTATGGCCATGGCGTTCTGCTCCAGCTTGGAGTTTGACCTCTTTGTAGTGGCCATTCTGTCCGTAGCTCAAGGTGCCGCCTTCGCTCTTATGGTGCCTACGATTATCCACGTCTTCGGAGGTCGCAGCGACGTGGAGATCGGAATGTACGTCGGGGTCTTGAACTCCGCGAATTGCTTTGGCCAGCTACTTAACTACGCCATTGGCACGGCAGTCGTGCAGACGTCACTTGGATATAAACTACCCGTATTCTTGGGAGGAGCTATGAGCTTCTTGGGCTTCCTGGTGGCTGCATTGCTCTTCAAAGTCAAGATGCATTCCATATAAATTAGTCGGCTCTAGCGTTTATGTAATATCGACCGCTTGTTGTATGTCGAAATACCATGCAAAAGGATCACTGAGATTTATCCGATACCAGGATTTATGACCTTCATTACATGCTGCAGTTACCATTGGTACAATACCAGACGATTTTTTCTCTCAAATTGACGCAGCTTCCATGCATGTTTTTCACTGCATCGCGGGATGTTTAGTCACGATAAAGAAGTTGCGCTCCTAAGCTTTTGCATGTACAGACAGATCTGTCGATTGGGGTTTTTACACACTGTACGATGATCCTCCTCCATCTACCCTGAACGTTAGTTGGCCTCTTCACTATCTGGTATCTCGCTCTGATGTTCTTCACTCGTGACTCACGAGAATGAATCGCTCCGCATTGGGACAAGGGGCATTGGTAGCAGGGCCCAGCACCCGATTATTTATCGTAGATGGGAGGAAGTTGGTGCTTTGCGCAACGTGTGGTGACTAATCGTGTAAGTAGCGTGACGCATTTGTTTTTTCTCACGTGACGAATCATTGAGAAAGTACCCACTACAGTACAGTTGCCAGAGCACATGGCGCCTTTTCAAAAATATCATTTCTGTTAAAACCAAGCGCAACGTTTCCACAAAGTTTCAACCGTCAATTCAAAGTTTCAACAGAAATGATATTTTTGAAAAGGTGTCATGTGCCCACTGATAAAGTCCATTTCTGCCATCACTGCCCGGAGAGCTGAGTCAGTACCTCGTACTGTCTCTCAAAATGCGCACCTGTAAAACGCATGGAATCTGATTATTGATCAACTTGTACACAAGCCCTTTTGAGATATTAATTTGTCCTTCAATATTGAATACATGTAATCCTGTAGGGCACGTGTGAGAGGGGACTTTTGTATGCAGTAACTGATTCATTTCTCTAACAGCATACCTGTACTACTATCCATAACATGCTTAACTATTAGAACGTTTAATATGTACTAAGCGAAGGTATTATGCGTTTTAGATACGGTAACGAAAAGAGTCTGGTGAGCTGTGCTACCAAAATCAAAGCGATAACTTTGCGCTAAAACAGAAACGTGTTTGCATTATTTACAAACGACAGCTTTGCCGTTTGATCACCACTTGATAAATATGAGTTTATTTAAAATCTGGATAACTTGGATCACTTTTTGGTGTTCTTTAGTAGGGAGCTGAGACACTGAGAAAACTAGGATCAGATACCCCAGTTGCTTATCCTTTCACCTAATTAGACCAAAATTGGTGTGCAACCGTAAAATGGTTTGATTATGAAGTGCAAAATAAAACTCCAAAAAAGCGTCAAGTTTGGTCCAAGATTTGAATATTTTTGAAGAGAAAAATAATACTACAGATTAGACAATATGGCCCCCATCATAACTAAGTGCCTTTAAAGCTCAATGAGTGATTCATAGACTCAATGCTCAGCTCATTATTATTACTTAACTGTATAATGGCTCAGAAAGACAAACGTAAAGGAGAGCTGGAGATTCGGAGGACGTCACTACTACATCTTAGTGGTGTGTCTCCATCTGCTGGTTGAGCTCCTTTTCGGTTAGTTCTAAGTAACCTAAACGTTGAGCCTCCAACGGGTTTCTTACCGACAGGGTATGTATGCGGATAAATTGATCGAATGCTGCACTTGCCATTTCTAGCTCATTTTCAATTTTCCAGTCTTCCGGTTTGAGCGTCCAAGTGATCATGACCTCGACATTGTCCCTCTTCGCCGCCATTGTAGCGGCGGTCACGTGCTTCACTCAAGTCCAGGCCCATGGCTACATGCTCCTTCCGCTCACAGAGTTTAAGGGGACACCGACAGGAGCGTGGATCGTGCAGATCGCCCCACAATTCCAAGCCAACTGGGAGTCTGTTCGCAACGATGAAGAAGTCATCGCGCTCTACGTAGAAAAAGCCAAGGAGGCTGGTTATGCCAACAACATCCGAAAACTATTGGACAGTGACACCAATTTATATGGAGCTCACTGTGGCTTCTCCAATCCTGACGCTAAGCCGAAGGACCCACCGAAAGACGGCACGGCTACCTTTGTGCGCGGACTTGCCCACCACGTAAGAACCGGTAATTAGCGACTTGAGAGCGCTATAAATTCTAACATGTTCTCTCTTTTTTCACTCCTAACTTTTGCTGTTAATTAACAGAGGACTGCATTCCATTGACTGGACCAGCTGCAGGACAAACGAGTACCGCTGGTGCCACGACAACCCAGTCGGAGGACCCAAGCCAGACTACCTCGGTGGCTCAAACCTCCAATACGATTTCTTCTGTTCCAACAAAAGCCAACAATCTCCGAAATGAAGTTCCGAACGCAGGGACTACAGCTACTAACACTCGTCAGACGCCACCGAACGTGTGCGCTCGACTCCTCCACCCAAGACGTGGGGCGATACGACTTGGAATGCACCCCCCCCACTCAAGTTCCGTCGAACCAGCGACCCAATTTCCCAGGTTGGTCCAATGCCGAGCGTCCAGGAACTGTTGTCCCTTACGCGCAGATCCAAGTGAACGAGGCTCCAGCGTTGTACACCGACCCTCAAAAATCCAACAGCTACTCGTTCCACAACCCAAGGGCCAAACACAAGGGCCGCAAGCCCAAAGACCGCAGTGAGACGGTCGCAAGGCAGCTCCTGACTTGTTTGTGTATTTGTCCGTGAAAAAATGTTGCATTTCAATAAATTTTCTGAATGTGCTCAAGATTTCTTACGAGAAAAAATCATTTATCTCTTGGCCTTCGCTACAGCTGCAGTGACTGCAGCAGTGTGAGCCAGCAGAGCGGCCGTCGGGCCTGAGCTCTTCGTGTGCGACGACGCTGCTGTAGACCCCAGAGCCTTCTGCCAGATCCGTGCACGCACCACCTCTCGGTTGAATCGCTCCACGTCGTGTGCAGCCAGCAATTGGCACTGGTGTCGAGCGTCCACTGGCGCGGCCTCAAATCGCCGCTTCAGGTCTGCAGCGGACACTTCAAACTCCATGTCCGGTGTCTTCTTCGCGTGTTCTTCTCGAAGTCGCAGTTCAAAGAATTCCAGCTCTGTTCTCGCTCGTTGCGCGGCGGGAGGAGGCGTCGACGACGGCGTGAAGACGCGCGGGGGGGTCGACACTGGAGGCGTCAGCTTCGGCTTCTTAGCGGCTGTGCTAGCTATTGGAACTGCCTGCTTTCTCTTCAAATCTGCTAGTAACATTTGTCCGGTAGCTGTAGCTTTGCTAATGAGTGTTTGTAGCGGCGGCGTCGGCTTCCGTCGCAGGAATCGGGACGCGACGAACGTCAGCGGTAGCGCGTCTTTGGGTCCGAACGGACGATACCAAGCGTCTGGAGCCCCCGTTGGCAACGAGTACGTCGGGTATAACCGCAGGGATGACTCGCGTTGTTCCGGTTTACCAGCGTTCTCTTGTTCCCTGTTCTCGTCAAAAGTGACAGCCTGTTCATGTTTCACATCGGTCGTGTCCTTGTCCTGTGCTGCCTGTTCTCTGCTGGCTGTCACTCGGACCTTGATTTCTGCTGGCGTTTTGTGGAAATCCTCCTCGTCCGAATCAGGTAACAATTCGTCCGTGTCGACCACCGGAATGTTACCATAAGCTAGGAATTTCCACAGTGTTTGACACTCTCGAGGCGTCATTCGGAGCTTGTGTGTCGTCTCCATCTTCTTCGCAACGGGTTCCCACTTGATGAAGGCTGTAACAATATAAAACGTTTTAGTTTAGATTGTAGTTTACCGCAATGTTACACACCTACCTGGAGATTTGGCCTCGTCCAGCACCGTTGGCGCCAGCGTTTGCTTCTTCAATTGGCTCAGGATCACTTCGCATAGCAGTGCGCAGACGTGGCTCGAGTACCGGCCCAGTACTTTGCCGTCGTCGTGAACCCCATTGACGGTCGAGGAGAGTTGTCCCTGGGGGGTTCCGCTCGAGTTGGAGCCTGTGTGCGCGGCCGCTCGGACACGCCGTCGCTGACCATTCGGTCCTACCGCGTCCACGACGACAGAAGCAAGTTCGGATGATGCGGGTGACGCTACGGGCCCCCGCACAGGCGACGAGTTGCGAGTGGACGTGGGGGTGGACGCAGGGGACGCTGAAAGAGGTACACGGCGTCGTTGCGAGCGACGAGAGGCGCTGGAGGACGTCGGAGGGAGAGAAGCAGCCGCAGATGAGGCAGCAGCCTTGACGCTGGGTTGGTGCTCACGCTTGGAGCGGCGGAGCGCCGGCTCCGAGTCCATCGCGGCTACGTTTGTTCGAATACAGTACTAAAGGAATAATGTACCGGTATTTAATTTACGCTACCGGTAGGTTTAAAAAGTATTCCTACTTTTTTTTTTAGCTAAGTGCTAGCTCTTAATTTTCAAAGCATTTCAGTAGAGAACAATTGTTTTGTTTTAAAAAGCATAATAATTGCTAAATTTTATTTTAGAAAACGCTTTACTTACTTGAACGTAACGTTAGTAATCAAAACGTAAATATGTTCTTAGGGTGGTACATGCAAAAAGTTGATACACAGAGACTTTACTGTGTAAAAACGTAGAAGTGATATTTGCTTTGTTAGCTATTTTCCTGTAAATAGCTTCTGGCGTCCACCCGTGCCACTTTGCCTGTGTATCAGTATAGTCGGCGGCCGAACCGGTCCTTTCCACCATTGTATACCGCAACACGGTCCAAATCTAACACTCCTTCTCGGTCGTCGCACTCTCGGTAGCACTCGTCACTTCAGCCTGAAGTCTCCCGCAGTGCTGCAAACCTTTGGGGCAGCGCCTTCATGAGAAGATCTGCCACCATTGGCCAGCTCTACGTACTTAGGCTTCACTATCCCTTTCCTGGCGAAGTTGCAGATGAACTTCACGCGGATGTCCATGTGCTTCGCGCTCGCCATGCTCTCCTCGAATTCAAGCTGCTTAATCACCACCTGGTTGTTCATCTTCATGGACAGGAACCCCAGCTCATGCACTAGTTCCCGCAGTCCCAGCAGCTCACGCCCCATGTGCAACGTCGACGTGAGCTCGGACTCCATCGTGGAAAGCGCCACGCCGGTCTGCTTCTTGCAGATCCACTGCACCACAGCTTTGTCCATCGTCACGACTCCCCCATTGCGGACTTCATGTCGCTCTTGTCGGCGGCGAAGTCCGCTTCACTCCAGCTATCTATGGCCACCACGTCGTCCTTCCTCGTCGGCGCCTTCATGACGAGCTTAGAGCTCTTCGTGTCCTTCAAATACCTTGCGACTCTCTTCGCTTACTTCCAGTCGTTTGTGGTCGGATGATGCGTCCTTCTCGTGGCCTTGTGCACTGCGAAGCTAATGTCTGACCTCGTGCAGCGCGCAATCCAGAGCAAGCTTCCCACGAGCGACTGGAAGCTGCGGGTTGTCTGCTCACCCGACGCGCCCACCTTGGTCAGCAACTGCGGCTTGTCGAACTCCGCCTAGTTGCTCTCCTCGCCAACCGAAGCCCGCATACTGTTCGCGCTCGCAAGCCTATGCTCAGCAGCTCCTCAATCGTCGCCTGATGGACCCCTCGCTGGCGTCCAGCATCACGCGCATCCCCAAGAATTTCCTCACCTCACCCAAGGCCTTCACGGACAACCCACTCATGAAGCGGGAGAGGTCGTCCACCAGACTCTTCTTGGACGCGGTGACCAGGAGGTCATTCACGTACACACCCACCAGCGTCATCTCGCCGCCTTTTCGCTTGTAGTACAAGCACATGTCCGTCACTCATCGCGTGAACCCTGCCTCCTCTAGCTTAGAGTGCAGGAGCTGGCTCCACAGTCTGCTCGCTTGGCATAAGCCGTACAGCGACTTTCTCAGGCGCAGCGCTAGCTTGTCCTTGGCACTCACCCCGAGCCTGCGTATAACCTCTTCATCGATCACCATTCCCTGCAGGATCTCCAGATGGACCTCGACGTGCTGCTCCTTGTCGGCCTTGATGTACGCGGTTGAAGGTGCTCCGCCGGCACACCAAGATAACCTTCACCGTGCTCAACTCCATGACCGCCGCGAACGTGAGCCCGAAGTCCACGCCGAAGGTCTGCTCGTTCCCGCACGCGACGAGTCTGGTCTTGAACCTTTCGATGGCGCCGTCCGCATCGGCCTTGGTCTTGAACACCCACTTGGTGTGCAGTACGTGGCTGCCGATCGGCGGCACTCTTCTCTAGTGCTCTGAGCTCCTCCGCAATGGCTATCAGCCACTTCTCCCATAGTTTACTCCTCTTCGTTTGTCTATGACTCCTTGGGTCGGGAACCTGGACGCTGTTTATCATGTCCGCGATCTGTCCCTCGTGTTCCTCATCACCGTATCAGCAGTCTTCCGCGCAGCCGAGCGCGTCTGGTGCTTATCCCGCGACGTTTTGCCTTCTCCTTTGTCCTTCCCCCCAAGTGTCCTTCTCCGAAGCGCCCGTGTCTTCCTACTCCTCGGAGTTATCCAGGTGCACGCGCTTCAACTGCTCATTATGCACGTTCGACAGCGTCTCGACGTTGCTCACGTAATGCGTCACTACGACTACCCTATCTCTCGAGATATACAACCGGTGGCCTTTAATCTCGTCGCGTTTTTTTCTTTTTCCTACGATCATGCCCGGCTTGCCCCGCTCACCCAGGAGTTTATTCTTAGCGTCCAAATGCACCGTACAGGGCGACCCGAACACCACGAAGTCGCTCAAGTCCGGCGTGCTCTTCGTGAGCATCTGGTTCGCCTTCGTCGGGCTCCTGTTTAGGATGTAGGCTGCTTACTCCGCAGCATTCCCAAGGAGCTAAGAGGAAGGCCACAGGCGACAACTATGCTCCGCATCATGTTCTAAGCGGGTGAATGCATTCTTTCCGTCTTGCTGCTACTATCTTGGTTCCGCGGCTCGCTGATCTGCCGCCTGATTCCGGTCTCCTTGCAGAAGATATCCGGGGTCTGGTACGTGTTGGTAGTTGAAATGCCGCTCAAAGAACACCATGTGCTTGAACTTCCGCGCTAAGAAGATTCTGCAGTAGTTAGTTCGATGGTCAACAAAGTCGATTTTCACAGTCGGTCTCTCGTAGTCGTCGGCCCCTTCAGATCGGAGCAGATGACCCCCTTCCCCCCGATCACGCTAATCGGCGAGCTGGCCCCGGTGTCCCTGCGCAACTGCTTCTTCTTGGTCTGCTTGCCTTGGGCACACAGTAAGCAGTTTGCCCACACCTCATTCGTGAGCTCGATCCCGGACGCCGGGTCCTTGGCCATATTGACGATCGTGTCGTGGCTTAGATGCTCTAATCTACGGTGGAAGTGCATGAGCGGCCCGGTTTGCACGTCCTTCCCACCTCCGCCTAATTATCCGCCAACACGGCCATCAACACGTCGCCCGACCGTTTAATGCCACTGGACCTATTGCACGTCCGGTCAGAACGTTTTTCGTCTTCTCGACGTCAAACATCGCCAGCCCGGCGTTGATGGTGGCTACGACCAGGTGCTTCCTCCGGTACGTAAGCGCGTACCCATTAACTTCCAACAACCCGTATGATATAATGTAACGTTCCAGGTTTTACGCATTCTGAACGTTCAGCAGCCGCACCTTGGTCATCTCTCCCATCGCAGTGGTCACGAGGATCACCCTCCCATGCTTAGCTCTAAGCGCTCATTCGTCCGCTGCCATACATTGACTCTCGTAGTCATCCACGTCCTCCATCAGCTCCGGATCGCTCACAAGGTGATAGCTGAATTCACTGTCCAGGATCCAGTCGTCCGTCTCCGTGGTCGACTTCTCGACCGTGAGCACGAAGTTGGCGTCATCGACCCAGCTGCTTGCCTCGCAGCTCGATCTCCGTCGACTGAGCGAAGTCCGCCAGCTCTCGCTTGGCGCAGATAGTTTGTGCGTGACAAGCTCAGTATGGACAGCATCAACACTCGCATGTTCGGACCCGCGTAGTGCACGATGTTTTCCAAGACCAGGCTACCCGCACCGCCACACGCCTCGCCAACCGCCTTGAGGTATAGGTAGTGCTCAGTCCAGCTCTCTTGGAGCTCTTTGGCGCCGTGATCATTTTCATGCTTTGCGCAGGAGTGGTCTTCGTGGCGAAGATGTGCAGCAGCATTCGCTGCATCGCATTCTCCAGCGTCAGCTGTTCTTCCCACCAGCCTTCAACCTGCTGCTTGTAGTACCTCTCAGCCATGCCGCTGAGAAAATGGCCAAGGATGTCGTCCTTGACGTGCTCGGTCCACTGAAACAGATTAGCATGTTTAATGAACTGTCTTTGGTGCACGAAGCGCTTGCCCCAGACCAGGAAAACGCTCCTCAACCCATGACAGTTCCTTCCCGATAAACGACCGGATCCCCAGCTTCCGCTGCCCGGTGTCGGGTACTCTTACGGTTCCGGTCCAGGTGACGCCTGCGCCATCTCGACGCTCGCTGCGTCCCGGTACTCACACTGCTTCATGCCGAGGTACGTGGCCGGCAAGACGGCAGGCGACGTGCGCCGTGGCGGTGTCTGGTCCAGGGTCTGACTATTCATGGCTCTGTCCAGGCCCAGCGACAACCCAAAACCGCTGCCCCCGCGACCCTTGCGCTCTTTCTCCTCCTTCCGCTCCTGCGACTCCTCCAGGCGCCCCATGCGTTCTGGAATGTCCTTGAGTAGGCCCAGTAGCTTGTCCTGCGTTCCCTTCGGCTCGTCGTCCGCCTTCTTGACCTACTCATCATCGCCGTACTGGCTGCCTGCCCTTTCGCGGCTAGGCTCTGCTTCCGTCTTGTCTTGGGCTTCGTCGGCGGCAGCAGTATGAACTATTGGACCCATAATCTGTTCGACAGAGGTTTTACTGTGAACAAGTGAAATTTGCTTTGTTAGCTATTTTCCTGTAAATAGCTTCTGGCGTCCACCCGTGCCACTTTGCCTATGCTACCCGCATAGTCGGCGACCGAACCTATCCTGTATACCCCTGTATACCGCACCACGGCCCGAATCCAGCAAAGTTGTTGCTGCGAAATATCCCCCCCCCCGCGACTATTAATACAATTTCACTGGGCTTCGTAGCTACAAACCCACGGTTAAGCTCGCACGGAGCCTATGAAATACTGCTAAATGCAAATGCATGGCTTCTTTTAACCCCCCGCACCTACGGCAATTTTCGCCCCCTGTCCACTACCCCACATGTTGTATATACAACATGTTAAAAATAGGCTAAAATTACATTCTGTATTGACCTCCGTTAGTACGAATACGCTTTCTGCACTGCGGGAAGATCAGACGCTCGGTGATACATTGATTGCGAGC